TAATGTTGCTTTATTCTTTCCATACATAGCAAAGTGAACAGCTATCTTTTACAACATGAAATATTCCAGTGTGCAAGAAGTCTCATACCCACACAATCTCTCTCCCTCAACCAAAAGGAAAAAAAAAAATTGGTATAGTTTCTCTCGGGCAAAAACAAAAACACACCACTAGTCAATAACAAATCCTAGCTGTAAGATAAAAGTTCATTGCCAGAAATATAATGGATTTTCTATTACAATGGAGCTGTGCCTCCCAATTGTCACTAACATATGGGACCATTAGATTCATGCTACTAATACATTGTTTTTAAACTGTACTTTTATAAAATTCAGCTGAAGCACTCAATATATCTTTTCTCTTACCCAAGAGAAGTACAGCAAGCCAATAGTAGAAAAAGTACCAACTGCTATGCTAGTGAACCAACATGCAACAGAAAAAAATATTAAACATTTCATAAATCAGTTGGTGTAATAGAAATAAAGCTACCTAATATGATCAGAGGATCAACAGTTTGTCCTTTGTAGATAATCTTGGTATTTATATAGCAACAGGAAACTTAGCCTGTGACAAGATTCAATTCCACTGATATTCTTTTAAATATTGTGCCTCCACATTAACAAGCATCTTCTCATTTATCTGAAGAAAGAAGTGTTGTCTGTTTTGTAATTAATCAATAAGTTCTGCACATTACATGGTAGCTCCAAATTATTTCCAAAGGACAGGCTTTTGGTGTCTTGAAGTATAAATAATCCAAGAACTAATAGTTGTAGTTATTTGCATTATTACATGATTTATATTGAAGTAATACCACCACTATTTTAAAAGCCTCTTTCGTGCAAACTGTATCCCAAAACACAAAGTCTGGACTTGAGTCTACCCTCCTTAATGACACAAGTAGTTCCATTGTTTTCACTGGGACTACTCATGTGAGTAAAGGGGTCACATCAGGCCATTAAACAGAAAGCAGTATAGAGATAAAGTCATTGAAAGCGACAGCATAATACATGGTACAATAAATAAATTATTCAATCATAAGGCCAATAACAGGAAGAAGAGTTACTGCCAATTTAGGTTTTAAGGGGAGATTTGATGAAAAATGGTGAGGGCATGCCTTTCGAGGTGGAGAGGGGTAGATGTTGTAGATGGCAGCAACTGCAGGAAAGCCGATCTCACCCCAACAGCAGTGTGTGTGTGTGTGTGTGTGTGTGTGTGTGTGTGTGTGTGTGTGTG